AATCGTAAATGTTCTTGCCTCGACCATATGCCGGAAGTATTTAACTGCTTCGTAAATCGCAAGAAGTTCGCGGTCGTAAGCAGCGTATTTGCACTGAGCTGGGTTAAGTTTTTTCGAGAAATACCCTAGCGGTTCCCAATCGTCCTCAACTTTTTGTTGCACTACGGCACCAATTGCAAAGTCAGAAGCGTCACACACTAGAGCAATTTGCGTATTTTCGCCGGGGTGCGCGAGTAGAGCTGCCTGTGCTAAGCTTTCTTTAGCCGCCACGAAAGCACTTTTCGCGTTTTCTGTCCAATTTATGGGTGCTTTCCCTTTCACATCCCCTTTAAGCAGGTCATTCAGTGGCGCCTGGGTACCTGCTGCGTTGGGTACGAACCGTCGGTAAAAGTTAAGGGCGCCAAGGAATTGTCGTAATTGCTTTATTGTCGTAGGCAGCGGGTAGTCTTTTATTGCCTCGACCTTTTCGGGAAGCGGCCGTGTGCCCTCACTTGACACCAGATAACCGAGGAATTTCACTTTGCTTTGTCCGAACACGCACTTTGTGGAGTTAATTACGACGCCGTACTGCCGCAGTCGCTGGAACAGTGTTTCCAGGTGACGCAGGTGTTCCTCTTCAGACGATGAAGCTACAAGGATGTCGTCGATGTACGCGTAGCAGAAATCTAAGTCGCGTAAAACTTCGTCGATGAAGCGTTGGAAGGTTTGAGCTGCATTGCGTAACCCAAAGGTCATATGCGTGAACTCAAATAACCCGAAAGGTGTGGTGATCGCCGTCTTAGGAATGTCTTCTTCCGCGACGGGGATTTGGTGAAAAGCGCGAATCAGGTCGATGGTCGAAAATAATTTCCTACCTCGAAGTGATTGTGCAAAGTCCTGAATATGTCGCACAGGATATAGGTCTGGACGCGTTCGTGCGTTAAGCCTACGATAATCGCCACATGGTCGCCATTCTTCACCCTTTTTTGGCACGAGGTGTAAGGGTGACGCCCACGCACTGCTCGAAGGACGGGCGATACCTAATTTTAGCATATCGTCGAATTCCTTTTTCGCTGCTCGCAATTTGTCTGGCGCTAATCTACGCGGCTTCTCAGCGACGGGGGAACCAGGTGTTGTTTCGATGTAGTGCCTGGTTTGGTGTTGTACAGCCGCAGAAGGAGCTGCAGAACGCGTAATGTCCGAATACTGCTTGAGTAGGCGATGAAACACGGATTCCCCGGAAATCCTTCTCACTGAGGGTGTCGTAGTATGCGCGAGTTGGCCTGGAGACGTAATTTGCGTTGATTCGTCAAGCAATCTTGTTGCGCACGTCCACCAGTAGTCCATAAAAAGATAAAAAGTCTGCACCAATTATCGGTTTAGAGACATTGGCGACGACAAATTGCCATGTAAAACAGCGACGCAACCGGAGGTTTAATGTCATTGTCACTGTGCCATACGTAGCAATTGAGGTACCATTTGCCGCGAAAAGTTCGTACGTCGATTTCGATCGCGACGATTTCACTAGTGCACGCGGATATACACAAAGATCAGCACCCGTATCGATGAGAAACTGGACCTTGGAGTACGTATCCGTAACGTACAAACGGCGCGGAATCGGCGGGCACGGGTCGCTGTTCGCCATCACCGACTGCCCGTCTCGTTTCCCGGACGATACGTGCACGGATCGCGGCACACGCGAGCGCGGTCACCAAAACGTTGGTGATACCAGCATTGACCACTGTCACTGTCACGGCTTCGCGATCGGTCGCCATTGCCAGCGACATATCCACTAACTGTTGCTCAATGCGTTTCAGTCTGTCGTCTTCCGAACGGGTATAATTTTCGAAGTAGTTTTCTTATTTGAGGCTCATGTTGCTTGCTGCGTTGCACGAAATAAAAACCACTCTAACTGCACAAAATCGCGTACTTTCACTGAAAGGATCCCGTCGGGGTCACCACTTGAGGGTTGCTTTCGCTGTACCGCAAGAAATAAACGCTCTCTCAACGGTAATAATAAAGAATTTTATTGAAAACCAAATTTGTGGAAAAAGACGTGTTGACGGTTTGGGCACGCGTCTGGTTGCCGGCGTCGGCGCCAGTAAACCCTTCTTGGAACGCCGGTTCGTCCGGCGGCGTCCTGCGGCGCTCTTGACGTTGTGCTTAAAAATGGGTCACTTGCGAACATGTGTACCCACAATATAAATAAATTGTGATTATGAACCTTATATACCAACAATTAATATACATCACAGAATAATCTGTTATTATGATATAAATTTTACATTATGAGCTGATTTATGACCGGATTGAGCAAAAAATATGTTATGAAACAGATCCAAATACATATTAATTATATAGTATAAAATTACAAATTATAGATTTACCATATACTTATCTATTTATATTAAGGACAAGTTTCTCTAATACTACACTAACTTTGTCCAACGGGCAACAAATCATTAATAATTAATAATTCAATTAACTTAACTTAAACTAAAAAAAAAAATGATTCCAACTGAATTGGTTGACAATTATTTATTGAGAAAATGCACTGTAGGGAAAAATTTTTATATCTCGAGTACCTAGAATATGGGAGAGTTTGTCTTCAGAGGCAGCATATAAATAGCTTCTGTCATGTCTGCCGAGTTTGTTGTGCGAGTGAGACAGAATCAATTCTTTGAACAATTACTTTAAATCATTATTACGTATTTCATTTGTTTTAATTTTAATTGTTGTAATAACATGAAGAAACACTTAGTTTGTTTCGCTTTTAATTTCTCATATTATCAAGACATAGTGTTCGTTAAATCGATTTTTCTCGAAAACGGATAGAGATACCGAAATGAAACTAGAGTAGATAATTAATGAAAAAATGATTGCTCTTTCAGGTTTTTAATCAAGTTTCATGTTAGACATACAGGGTAAAAAGTTATTAACTATATTTTCGGTAAAATTGGTCGTATGTAGCGCCCTCTGTGAGCAACGATGAAATTGCAACACGCATCTTATTCGTCGCTTAAAAAATATAGATTCACAATTTTCAAGTTCCTAACCTACATATTTTCAGAATAATCGCAAAAAAACGATTTAAAATTTTAACTTTCAACATCCTGTATTTCCGAAACTATCAACTTTCGGATAAGGCATGTTGGCGCCAATGGTCACCATTTCACGTGTAGTATCTTCAGATTTCGATTTTCCCATTGTTAATGAATCACCCTGTATATTTATTTCTCTCTTTCCTGTAGGTACACTGTTTATAGAGGTATAGGGCAAAATAATAAAATTTGTGTTATTTTTTTGACCTGAGAAAATCCCATTTCTAAAGATTCAATTTTCATTTTTATGTTTTTCTTTTTTCTTTTCAATTTACGTTGGCTATATTTCAAGAATTTAAAAAAAAATTTCTTATACATTTGGCGCCTCGTTAGTCGTTTGGGGGCCTATTTTCGAAAATAAGTCGGGTTTTGCCGACTTCCCGACTTGACCAGACCGGGCCTGAACACAGCAGGCAAATATATTCCTATTTTCAATAAAAAGCCCCTATAAAAATTAGGCTGCTAATATATTTGTCATAACTCGTACTATTATAAATCATAACTCATACTATTATAAATTCTGGATGTAACTAGATTTTTAATAGGTTTGGCTCACATACTCTTTATTTTGACCTTGAGGTGCATTATTCTGTCCATTCTTAACAAAATACGCTATATTTAAAAATTAAAAGTAGTGAAACCATATGATTGTTCAAACCCTAGTTTTTTCAACTATGCAAGTCACATGGCTTTAGATATAAAGTAAAAGTTTTAAATATACAGGGTGTCCCATAATTAGTGTGCAATACTTTAGCAGTAGATTCTACGATCAAAAATAAAATTATTTTTTCCTATAAGCAAGTATTCCTAAGAGAGCTACGCCCCTCCAAAAGGGGCCTCAGGAGATCATATTTTTCAAAATATTTCCAAAACCAGTTAACGTATCATTATGAATTTTGGTATGTTGGACACTCAATGAATGTTCTAACGAACTACACGAAAACTGTTTAAAAATTTTAGTGAGGGGTCTCAGGCAAGGGTGCTCACGGGTAAAATGCTCCTCCAATTTTTTGCATGTCAGTATTTTCAAATTTAGACATCAAACTATGATAGATATGAGTTTTTCACAAAAAAGTGTACTCTTGATTTACTTTGATAATATGCTTAGTTTTCGAGAAAAATCGATTTTAAAGTTTTATTGTATAATCTCAAGAATAGAAAAGGATTACATGAATAGTCATGAAAACAAACGTTTGTTTACTTGAATTAATTTGACAGATTATTAAACTCAAATTTTTGCTTTCACTTTACGGTGCTGATTAATCTAAAGAAAAAATTAAAAATGCAAAATTTTTACAATCGCGAGCTAGCAGACATTCATTTTGTGTATGGATTTTGTAATAAGAGAGCATTAGCGGCACAAAGGGAATACCAACCGCGATACCCAAATCGGAGGCAACCTGGACGTAGAATATTTTCTACGGTACATAGACGATTAACAGAAAATGGATTGTTTAAAAAAGTACTTTTTTTGTGAAAGACTCATATCTATTATAGTTTGATGTTTAAATTTGAAAATGTTGTCATGCAAAAAATTGGGGGCGCATTTTATCCATGAGCCCCCTTGCCTGAGACACCCCCTGACTCAAATTTTTAAACAGTTTTCGTGTAGTTCGTTAGAACATTCATTGAGTGTCCAACATACCAAAATTCATAATGATACGTTAACTGGTTTTGGAAATACATAATTTGAAAAATATGATCTGAGGCCTCTTTTAGGGGGGCACAGCTCCCTTAGGAAGCATTTTCCGACGCTTGTTTATAGGAAAAAATAATCTTATTTTTGATTGAAGAATCTACTGCTAAAGTATTGCACACTAATTATGGGACATCCTGTATAGTGGCCAACAGAACTAAGTATTAAGGTTTTTAAAATTATTTTTTAGGTGAAAAATACATAGCAATTTTTTTATTTTGTAGCTGAAGCCTTATTTGCTCCTGAACAAAGCATTGAATTTCATACTACATTGGAAAATGTTTACAAAGAAACATCACTACGTGTTTTGGACTTACTCAAAAATAAATACAAATTATATGAACATTTGCAGTCTTTGAGAAGATACTTACTTTTAGGACAAGGAGATTTTATAAGGCATCTATTAGAATTGCTGGCGTAAGTAAAATTTATTTTGTATAAAATTGATTTTGTATATAGAGGATGTCCAGAAATATAAGCAAAAAAAACAAGAAATTATTTTATTAAAAAATAATGGTATAATTTCCTATGACACTTTCTCAAAATAAATATAAGGGCCCTTTAAGCCCTTTAGGTAAGGTGATGTCTGGCATCATCCTTTGAGGAGGATTATTTCCCTTTCATGAGCTTTGTCCTTCATTAAAGCAAGCGTCCTCCTATATCCTACTTTTGAGCAACAACATCCCCCTGTAGGGAAACTTGGAATTCTCTTTCAAAGGCTTGTTGGCATTTAGATACAATTTGATTTAGATTCTTATATATTTTTTTATAATTTTACATCTATTTATAATTTTTATAAATTAACAAGCAATACATACAGGGTGTCCCACCGGGAATTGCGTTGATCGATATTTCTAGGAAAGTACTGCTCCAAAAAGTTTGAAAATTTGACATGAACTTCATTATTTTAAATGGGACACCCTATATATTATTACATTTTTGTATTCTACGTGAAATTTGGGGGTCACTTTATTAATATTCCCTATAAATTTTTTTATACATTTTGAGATATTAATTTTTAAAGAAAAAATTTGACAGATTCAAGGGTCCGCGGTAGGGTTTCTGATTTCTCGGCCTATTTTTTTTCTCGGGTCTCGAGAATTCTCGACTAGGAATTCTCGAATTCTCGAGAAATTTCTAAAACTTAAAAAAGTCATAATTTTGGTATTGCAATGCGAAATATAAACATGCTATTATACTTAACAATCATCATTAACATTTATTATTTATTCAGTAATTTTATTAATTACTTATGTTTCTACTTCTACTAACAAAACTAAATTAAACTTTGAGTTTCTTCTTAAAAACCTTTAACTTGTTTTTTTATTNAATTGATTTTGTATATAGAGGATGTCCAGAAATATAAGCAAAAAAAACAAGAAATTATTTTATTAAAAAATAATGGTATAATTTCCTATGACACTTTCTCAAAATAAATATAAGGACCCTTTAAGCCCTTTAGGTAAGGTGATGTCTGGCATCATCCTTTGAGGAGGATTATTTCCCTTTCATGAGCTTTGTCCTTCATTAAAGCAAGCGTCCTCCTATATCCTACTTTTGAGCAACAACATCCCCCTGTAGGGAAACTTGGAATTCTCTTTCAAAGGCTTGTTGGCATTTAGATACAATTTGATTTAGATTCTTATATATTTTTTTATAATTTTACATCTATTTATAATTTTTATAAATTAACAAGCAATACATACAGGTGTCCCACCGGGAATTGCGTCGATCGATATTTCTAGGAAAGTACTGCTCCAAAGAGTTTGAAAATTTGACATGAACTTCATTATTTTAACCTATACACCCTATATATTATTACATTTTTGTATTCTACGTGAAATTTGGGGGTCACTTTATTAATATTCCCTATAAATTTTTTTATACATTTTGAGATATTAATTTTTAAAGAAAAAATTTGAGATTCAAGGGTCCGCGGTAGGGTTTCTGATTTCTCGGCCTATTTTTTTTCTCGGGTCTCGAGAATTCTCGACTAGGAATTCTCGGGAATTCTCGAATTCTCGAGAAATTTGTAAAACTTAAAAAAGTCATAATTTTGGTATTGCAATGCGAAATATAAACATGCTATTATACTTAACAATCATCATTAACATTTATTATTTATTCAGTATTTTTATTAATTACTTATGTTTCTACTTCTACTAACAAAACTAAATTAAACTTTGAGTTTCTTCTTAAAAACCTTTAACTTGTTTTTTTAAACAACTTCATTATNTGGACTGACGAGTCAACATTTACCAGAGATGGCATATTTAATTATCATAATGACCATACGTGGGCACCTGTGAATCCTCATGCTGTCAGGCCCTCCAATAATCAATACAGATTCAAAGTTAACGTATGGATGGGTATAATTGGAAATTACGTTCTTAGACCAATTATACTAGAAAATACATTAAATGCAGAGGCATTTCTTGATCTTCTTCAGAACGAACTGCATAATATATTAGAAGAGGTTCCTTTAAATTTTCGGATTAATTCCTGGCTTCAAATGGATGGTTGCCCTGCACATAACAGCAGGGAGATTCGCGCATGGCTAAATGAGCATTATGAAGATAGATGGATAGGACGCTTTGGTACAGTTAGGTGGCCTCCTCGAAGTCCTGATCTAACTCCGTTAGACTTCTTTTGGTGGGGTAGATTAAAATCTTTGGTATATGAAGTACCAATTGAAACTCGAGAACAGCTCGAACAAAGGATTTTTGCTTGTTGGGAGCTACTTCGACAGCAAAATGGAGAAGTGCGTCGCACAGTTGCTTCCGTGCGGAGAAGGTGCGCTTTATGTATCCGTCAAGGGGGAGGTTACATCGAAAATTATTAAGTCATTGTAAATATGTTACTAAGTTATAAATAATTTTTTCAACAATTTTGTTACTTTAATTTAAAAAAGCAGTCTTAAAATAAAAATAAAGTACTATAAAGTTTGTGTATTTTCGATTTTTACGGTGTTTATTACCTTTGCCCTTGATATTGTTGCCAAAAAAAAATAGTAAACTCAAAAGTTGATATATCGTTGAAGAGCTTACTAAATACAGTAGTTTTTGCTGAAGAAAAAACACGTCCTCATTAACAAATTTTTGGCGTTATCACCAATAAGGAGATACCACTAATTTTGCTCATTTCACAATTATTACATTTAACTTTTTACAGCACCTGGTATAGAAGATTTTTTAAACACTCATATATGCTCGTCTTGTAGTAAATTTAACGCTCTTTCCGACGGTATGTCTAAATTTGATGTGGTTGTAAGAATAACAGAGATATTTTTGTTTTTATAAAAAAAGGCACAAAATTTTTTGAAATCATAAAATATTAAATAAAAGAGCAACTATCAACTTTCCAAAAAAATCTTATAGTACTTTTTTGTTGAAAATTACTTGTATAATAATCCCCTGAAGTTTGGCTATCAGCACCCGTTACACCTTGTATATATATATATATATATCAATGTCCGATATGTCAAAATACAACTAAATCTAAATCCTTACGTAATTGGAAAAAAGGCAGAAATGCCTGAAAGAGGTCTAACAATTATTACAAGATGTCTTATTTTCTTAATAAAAAAAACATCATTAGGTTTTTTAATATTATCTCGCCTATTATTAGAGATGGACCCAACAAACCTTATATGACTATGCTCGACAAGGAACGTTCTATCCAAATATGTAAAAATGTACAGGGTGTTCCATTTAAATTAACAAAGTTAACATCCGCGGCCTTTTTGTTTGAACTTTATTTGTTTTTCTACTATCATTTTCGAAAACTTAATAAAAAATCGTGCAACTTTTGTATTTCACATTTTTGTATAACTCTTAAAACAAAAAAGTTAAAGGGGGGGGTCAAAATATAGTGAATCACCCTGTACATTAAAAAAAAAGAATCATCAAAGTAAACTAAAGCCTTAAAAACTTAAAATAAATAAATCATGAGCTGGTAGAGAAACCACTTTAACCGCTCAGTTATTTGTCGAGAAACGAATTGAACGCTTGAACGAAAGGAACTCCAGTCAAGAACTTAAGACGCGCGTGATTTTTATATTTCTCGATTTCTCGATTTCTCGATTTCTCGACACTTTTTTCTCGTCTCGAGTAAGGCCATATTTCCCGGGAATTCTCGCTTCGAGAAGTCTCGACCAAAAACCCTAGTCCGCGGAGATGCTAGTAACTCTTTTCAAGAGAGTGATGTCAAGTGGATTTTTGATACCCGTAAAGGGCATAAGTAACACTACATTATGGTATACCAACAAATTAAAACATTTAATACTAGGCGTTTCATTTTTGCTGTTACATTTGATAACTTCAAACAAATGTAACTTTGTTAACTTAAATGGAATACCCTACTCTGTCATATGCAGATTAAAATTTGCTTTTAAGCCATATAATTTAACAACTAACTTGACAAATGTCAGTAGTAGTACTAGTGAAAGGGGCCGTCTCAGCCTGGCAAGTAGGTCACATGTGGGCCCTTTTTGCCTGCCCCACCGTCCCATCACCTGTCCACTCTCTGCCTCTGACCCTCCTCGAAGCTACCAGACGCCCTAATGAACGCTAGGATTTTGGTCCATGGAAGGTCCCTCACCTCAACCCCTTGCAGCTCTACCGTACCAATGACTATATATATGTCTTAACCTCCCAAAGGCTACACAGTATCCCAGAAGTTGGACAGGGGTGTTCTCCCCTACTCCACATTTCGGGCATAAAGGGTCCTATTTTTCCTATTAAAACTTGACAAATTCCAAGTTATTTTAATTGTTTTGGAGTGTTTCTGGTCATGGCCAATTTGACAACAGGTCTGATAACGAGAGTGTCCAAAAAATAGAAAATTGCAAATATCTCTAAACATAGTACGGCAACCCTAACAACGCTTATATGGCTTGAAAGGAAATTTTAATCTGCATACAACAGAGTAAAAAAATACAGGGTGTTCCATTTAAGTTAACAAAGTTATAGCTGTTTGAAGTTATCAAAATATAACAGAAAAAACGAAACACTTAGTATTAAATGTTTTGATTTGTTAGTATACCATAATTTAGCGTTACCTATGCCCTTTACAGGTACCAAAAATCTGTTTGATATCACGCTCCTGAAAAGAGTTACTATCATCTCCACAGACCCTTGCATCTCTGTCAATTTTTTTCTTTAAAAATTAATATTTCAAAATCTATAACTCCTAAGTATAGGGAATATTTAATAAAGTGACCCTTAAATTTCACGTAGAATACAAAAATGCAATAATATATAGGGTGTCCCATTTAAAATAACAAAGTTGAAGTCGACTTTCGGTATAACTGGAAGTGCTGAAGAGTTCTAGATATTTTAGTTGTGTTCGCCTTTGGGACATTGCTACGTTGCCAAATTTTCAAATTTTTCAGTTCAGTACTATCGTAGTTATAGATCGACGCAGTTCCCGGTGGGACACCCTGTATATAAAATATTAATAGACTCATTATTAATTTGTAATTAGCCTCCTTGAAATTTTGTAATTTGTTTTTTGCTACTTTATTAAAGTTTATAAAATTGTAAAAAATGTTGTTTTGCTAGTGTAGTTAATGATTTCAAGTATTTTGAAGAAAATTAAGAATCCAGTGGCAACAAACCTATTAACGAATTCTTAAAAAAATAATTGATAGTTGCTAAAATATACAGGATGGAAATGGCCTTATGTAGTTTTAAGTGAACCTGAGAAACAATAACTAATTGAAATACGAAAATATAATTTCTTGAGGAATTCTAGTCACCTTACTTTATGGTTGGGAAATGACGGGCTTTACTTTAAGGGTAACTTCCTTGGATGAAAATTTACTAATTTAGATCAAGTAGGTACTGTTTTACTTCATAAAAATTTCGAACCTTGAAAAAAAATGTTTTATTTAATTTTTTTGAGATAATTCCACAGCATTTAAAGATATTTCAGTTAATTTGGTATAATGGGGTTTTTGGGGTAGGTGAAGGTTAGGTAGGCTTATTTTTCACCTAAAATCTAGAGATTGCTAAAGAATACAACAGACTGTGTCTTTTCTTTGCATTTTTATTGTTAGTAGGAATTTTGAGAAAATTGAGATGTTTTATGATACTTTACTCTATTTCTACTGTAAAAAAGCTAAACCTATTGGATATAAAATATCTCGTTATAGAAAAATATGGATTTCAATAAAACATAATTTAACGAGATTCAGCCTTTAGGATGTAGTTCTCCAACAATATTTAGAGATCTATACCTCAGTAGGCCTTGACTTTTAAATAGAGGTAAATAAATTTGATCATAAAAAAGATAAACAAAAATACAAATTTAACAAAAACTAGGACAAAAATATATTTCAGGTATTTCTTGAAACCTCTATGCTTTAGTTATGAAATAAGCCGTCTTTGACTACACCAGAAAGTTGCTTATGCTAAATTTCATTAAAATATCTAAAAAAGTAATCTTTAAAAAATAGTATAGAATTTTTTTGTGGGCCCGTAACTTTCAAGCATAATTGTATTGACATAACTTGATCTTAATCAGTTTATTTTCGTTCAAGGAAGCTACCTTTGAAGTATGACCCATTTATTCTCGCAGGTTCTGTATACCAAAAAATTTAAGTATTATACTGCATTATTTTGCCAGGGCAAATAATATTTTTATAATTTAACATAAAGATACCTAAGTTAAGTTTAAGTGATTATCATATTTCAGTCCAGAATTGAATAAGCCAGCTGAAAACATCTATGGCCATACATTGACCGCCATTTTAGAGTCTGCTATAAGAGTTACAAATGCACAGTATGAAGATGAGGACACTCTAAAGCGTTTAAATGTTAGTTTTATGAGTCACTCCTCAGGAGATATGGGTTGGGATGTATTCAGTTTAGTTTATATCGTTGATGGACCAATTGGAACTATATTTCAACAAACTATGCCAACGTATCAAAGTTTATTTGGAGCTTTGTGGAAAGCAAAGAGAATGGAATTTGCACTTGCCAATATGAGACGGCAACAAATTTCTATGGCAAAACTCTTTAGAAGGATTAAAGGTGAGTATGAAAGATAAAATCTGTAAACAGTAAATCAGTGTTTGAAGAATTTCTCACGTTATTTAAAAATGTTCAAATACATATATCTATTTTAATTTTTAAATTCATATACTTTGACATACAATCAGTTATCATGGATCAGTTATAGAGAAAGAAATATATAATAACCATGCTTAATGACAAGGGAGTTAAACATTGTGGTGTATTGAAAACTAAGCAATGTGGCAACATTGCAAATGTTTACTTCTAACAAACATAAAAATAGCTCTGGTATTAGTATTATGCATTATTCTCTCATAATGTGCTATCCTCTTATTATTTTTTTTAATATCGTATGGACCTAATTCTAGTAATATTTTTTTGTGATTTCATAGAAAAACAACCTGTTTTTTTATTTAGTATGTGTTTAGAGCACTATGTTTAGAATAACAATTGACTTTTTTGGCTTCACCCACAGAAACATAAAGACAAAAAAGAAACCACTGTTGTATCAAACTGAATAAGAATAAACAATGAATTGAAACAATGGTTATTTTAACGTGATTCAATAGAACTTTTTCTCGGACTTACATTGGGGTAAGGTTTGATAGATTCATCTTTAATAAGAAGGGAGACATGGCCACGAGTGTGTTCTCTCTTTTTAAGGGCCATAACGGAGCACCATACCGCATATATATTTTTTTTATTCCAGAGAGCCTCTAATAAACACGCCGCTTATTAATTTTTTTTATCCATCATGCACTGTATGAGGTGTGTGGTGCGAGGTTCCCAAAAATACTAAGCTCCAGTTTTCTGTGCAAGGCTTTGGTCCAAAGTCTAGTGTGGTGCTAAGTGGGGTGTTTCATTATGGCTATATGCATTTAATTCAATGGTTATATTTGGTATGAGGGTACGATACTTGGAGCGGTGCTATGTGCGGTGCTTCGTTATGGCCGCCTACATTGAGGTTACAGCAGACTTTTTTGGCTATATTTCCCTTATTATTAGATACAAAGCTATGAAAACTAATGTTTCTATAATACTAAAGCAGCATTCTATACAAATATATAAAAATTAAACATGATATTCGATTATTTTTCCAGGTACTTTTTTAAATAACAAAATAATTTCCTAAAACTTTGGTCCATGTCCATTTTTTTAAAGTGTAAAAATGCGAGGCATATCCTCAAAGTAAAATAACAATTTTAAGAAATCAAAACAACAGTATATTTATCAAAAATTTACATATTCAGAAAGGTATATCAAACACTATCTTTCGAGGTAGTCTCCTTCAATCTCAATGCACTTCATGAGCCGAGGGATGAGCTTTCTGATACCTTCGTCAAAAAAATTGCCCACCGTTTTTTGGACACATTGTTTCACAGCACTGTATAGAAAACCTTTTTCTACCTATAAACATCTTCAAAGAAATGATGAAAATCAGAAGGTGCCAGGTCAGGACTGTGAGCGGGGTGGTTGATGATGTTCCAACCGAATTAATCCAAGAGTTGCTTTGTGGCGTTGGCTGTGTGGGGACGTGCATTGGCATGCAACAAGCACACCCCTTCGTTAATATAACCCTTCTTTTGTTCTGTACCACCTTCGTAGTGTTTTCAGGGTTTCACAGTCATGTGCAGCATTAATTGTTTCCTCTTGGGGCAAAAAGTCAATGAGGAGAATCCCTTTACAGACTTAAAACACAGTTGCCATGATTTTTCGGGCTGAAACAAAAGTTTTAAATTTTTTGGTTGATGGTGAAGACAGATGTCGCCACTGCATTGATCATCTTTATGTCTCAGTAGGCCACCCATGTTTCGTCGCCTGTCACAATACAGTCAAGTTCACCTTCCAGTTTGAAGTGCTTGAGAAATTCCCATAATTCTGTTAATCTATGAGCTGTTTTGGTACCCACCTCACACAATTTTCGATAACCAAGTGTTTCAGTAATAATTTGTCAACTTCTTTGTTCCTCATAAACATTCATTCTGCCAGCTTTATACTCATGACACCACTTGTACACGTTAGTATGATTCATCACACCATCTTCATAAACAATTTTGATTGCATTAAAAATCTGAAACAGCGCCTTTCCCTTTGCAAGAAGAAACTGTTTTACGCTCCTCAGGATTCGGCATAGCGGCACTCACTTTAATGCACCATTACAACAACAGTTCTCAAATCACAAACTAGCACGCGTTCTGCTCCCAACACCTTGGCTTTGAATACAGTTTTGCCAATATTGTTAAAAACAAAAGCTGCAGAGCATCATAGTCTTAGTACTCCTACTTTGTGGATACACCTCATAATAGAGCTTTTTAGTAGTGACGTCACATACACCAAATAATAGGCAACCCCATAGTGCACATTGTCATGAAAAATTTTCAATATCGATTTTCGACCTTTAAATTTATATAACAATATTGACTTTTATAGTAATTAATAAATTAAAATTATATTAATGTTACTGAGCATGCGCATTAAGAGATAATTTCATGTAAGCGAGTAGCCTCGTATGTCTCTAATAAACTACTTGAAGAAAAAAACACTCGACAAACACACTAACATAATACAACACCAAGAAAAACTATAAAGATACTTAGTAGAACTAGAAAATACCGTGATTAAACAAAACAAGAGAAAATACGCTAATAATAACAGCAATAACATCTCCACAAGATCTCACCTGCGGATGAGGCTATTCGTTCCGAGCATGAGCTTTAGGAATAACACAGCTAATGGGAATATTCTTTTATATCGGTTTTTATAAGTTTTAAGCATATTAATGTATCTGTTTTACGAAACACTTGTTCGTTGTTCTTAAATGCTTCCAAATCCTGCTAAAAATAAATTAATTTGAAGTTGTTCATTTTTAAAGTATCTATGTAAATAATACAAAAGGGTCAGATTCGGTTTGTACAATTTCAACTATGACAATTTGTTGCGGGTTGCCTAAATATGTGACGTCACACTAAATGAGTCTATAGAAATAAGAGAGATAGAATGTTATCTGAATATTCCTTGTACGTCATTATTTCATGATTACTGATTCGAGTATTGCGTCATTTCTTTTTCTTGTTCTTCAACTTTTATTTCTAATCTAAAACATTTCTCCCGATTTTGCAAAATGTACAATCTTGCACAATGGATTTCAACTTGAATAATAAATTAAACATATACTTTTCATCCAAATACTATTTCATGTTTTAATTAGTGCTGGCAAAAACCGGAAAAAAGTGAAACCGGTTAACCAGGTTCCGTAAAAACCGATTTCAGATAAAACCGGTTAGTCGAATAACCCGTTACTCGAATCGCCAAAACCGGATATCTGAAAATCGGTGCTTCGTAAAACTGACGAGATATACGATGTTATTCACATATTCACATATTTTAAATTTTAAAGTGAAATCTAATGTTAAAAGTTAAAATGTTAAAACAGTTAAAACAGTTGCACTTGTTACTGTGAATCTTCAATTTATTATTTATATAAATGGATTTGGTCGTTTGGTGTATGTGGGTGTGGGTGACTGTTTTTTTTTATCAGTCTGTGTCTGTGTCCCAGGATAAAATATAAAAATAAATTGTATTTCCCTTAATAGTTCAACCCTTCAGATATGTATGTACTATGTAGTTTGTGTCAATAACTAAGACTATATTATGGTGTTATGTAGTTATTGGCTATAAAGAAAGAATCCGATTATTCGGATGTTTGAAGAGATTATCGAATAATCGATTATTTGAATAATCTGATATTTGAAGAATCGAATAACCGGTTTTCGGGTTTCGTAAAAATCCGAATTATCTGAAATTGGTTAACCGACTATCCAAAAAACCGATTTCAGTTGCCAGCACTAGTTTGAATGTATTAGGGTTAGTATTGAAAATTTCAACTTTTTTTAGGGATTACTGTAATAATAGATACATATCTTTTTTGTAGAACTGAAACCTGTAATGCATATTATACATATATTAACAAGCAAAATGATCCATTTCTTGCATCAAACACAGTACTATTTTCTGTTTGAAGTTTTGGAATGTTCTTGGGCTGAAATGCAAAATCAGGTTAATAAAGCTGAATGTTTAGATGATATTATTGTGGCTCATACAGTATTTCTAAGTTCCATCCAAAGAGGAGTTCTCTTAGATGAAAATTCAAGAGTAAGTCGTAAAATACTTTTAATTAATTATTTTTGATATAATTATATTTAAGCCAGGTTGAAAAGTGTCTTATAAAAATATAATAACTGATATGAGGTAAATTTATATCACACGTGGTATTTGAAGCCAAACTTTTTGTAACTTTATTAGTCATATTTCTTATTTCATACTTAGTGTTACATATCGCTAAGAATTTGTGAGTAGTAATGATAAATGATTAAAACTTATTTATCCTAAATTAAAAATACTTCTAACTTGGAATTGGTCTATATGCAATGATGTGTTACAGTAAAAATTTCGAGAAAAAAGTAATATTGGCAATTATAATAAACATGAAAAACTATTATTTTGTATTGCAAGCAACAATTTTATTATAAATGTAATTTCTTCATTTCATATGTTCATAAACAAATACTAAGTAGGTTACATTTCATTGTTATTTTATATCACTGAAAAGTGTTTATTCAGTTGGTCAATAATAATGAAAAAATGTACGTCATGCCTCCTAACTTTTTTGTTAGTATGGTAAACTAGGGTTAAAAATAATTAGAACAGTTAACTGTTTAACCATTAACAATTTGTTTTTAGCAATTGTTTTCTCATCTGATATCAATTTATAATTTTGTTGTAAATTTGGAGGCGCACCAAGAAGCATTATATCAAGCCGCGTTAGATGAACATAATGCTTATATGAAGTATTACAGTAAAGTGAATGGAGAAAGTGGTTTTGGTACAACAACTGAAGGAGAAGTAGCAGCTAAAGCTCGAGTAGCAAGCTTTCGCCAGTTTTTAAATACAACGAAATTAAAAATTAAAACATCTGCCCAGACATATGATGTAATTGTTAAGAACTTTTTAGAACTCTTGTCAAAAAGTATGAATATGAATTTGCGTTTGTTGAGTGTAAGATTAAGTTTTAATAACTTTTATAATGTTGCATGACCAAGTATTGATAACATTTCTGGTACTTCCCTCATCTTGGATAGTGAGATTTACTCTGTAGGTCCAAACACTTATGAGAATAATTCGGAAACTTTCATTGATTGTAAAACTTCAAAGAGTTGTAATAAAATTACTTGCTGTTCATCACCTAGTTGCATATCAACTGATACTACAAACATTAGTAACTCAAGGTCTGTTATTTCCTCGAAATATGGAAGTGTGGTTTCATTATTAGACAATAATAAAAAGAAACGTAAGCATATCTGATGTTGTGTTGGATGAAAGGTGTACCATGTAATTATTTAGCACCTCTCCCACATAAGAGATGGTTTTATTTATATTAATGTTGTAGGTATTAGCATTATAATCATGGATATATTCTCATTAGGTTTTTACATAAATCTGAAAATTCCTTTAATTTTTTTTCTATGGATTTAAATAATAGTATTATACATGGTGATTTACAAATGGCGACCAAAAATGAATCCTTGTATTCTTTGGTAAATTTTAAGAGGAGTCTTTCCTACAAAGTTTTTATCTAGGATGCTTTGTTAAAAAGATACAGGGTGTTAAACTTCAAAAAATATTTTTTTAAATAATTTAAAAACTAGTCAGTGAAATAATTTGAAATTGGGCACATTGTCCAAAATTTGAGGGTTTTTCCTAAAATGTACATGCTCCAGTAGCGGAGGTACAGGGTATCGGCATATTTTTCTAAATAAAATAGTACACCACTGCTTTATAGTATATTTTCAGATTCGTCTTTCAATTTTCTACAAATTAGTCTTATATTTTTCGAAAAAAGACTGATTTTAAAAACTTAAAAAACCAACTGAAAACACTTACTTAAATGACATGACTTGACTAATCATTCGATTATTTATTTGAGTAAAGAAATTAATAACACTAGTCATCATTTTAATGATTTTATTTGAGTAAATGCTCAAAAATAACTCCATTTCCACGAAAACAGACGCGACATCTTTTTAGTAACAAAAATGTAAATTGTTCGAAATTTATTGTTGCTTAAATCTTATGAAAAGCACTATTTATTCTTTCTTCTAACTGCTCAGCAGCCTACTATGTAATTTTGAACCGCATTTTATTCGAATATCAAAGTGTCTTCAGTTCATTTTTTCGGAAAACATAGAGTAGTAATTTGTAGAAAATTGAAAGACGAATCTGAAAATATCATGGTTGTTACCGTAAAGCAGTGGCGTACTATTTTATTTAGAAAAATATGCTACGGATACCCTGTATCTCCACCACTGGAGCATGTTAATTTTAGGAAAAGCCCTCAGATTTTGGAAAATGTTTACATAAATACATGTGCTCAATTTCAAATTATTTCACTTAGTAGTTATTAAATTATTTAAAAAACTTAAAAATAGTTTTTGAAGTTTAACCCCCTGTATCTTTTTAACGAAGCGTCCTAGATAAATACTTAATGGGAAAGATTCCCCTTAAAATTCACCAAAGGATATGAGGTTTCATTTTTGGTCACCATTTGTGAATCACCTGTATATAAGAAAGTGTTTATTAATTCAGCATATTCACACTTGAGATAAATAATGTACCTAATGTAACCTAATGTACACTTGTAGAAAGGCAATACAATACAATGCCTTGTCTAATTTTTAATTTTTGACTTGATTTGAATACATTGTTACAATTACACCAATCAATTAATAGTTAATTACAATGAATGTAATTTCAAATTACCTTAGTAACATTCTAATATACAAAATATTGCTTAGAAAAGTATGGCAGTGATTTATACTGTGTACTGCATTGTTTATTGTAAATTAACTTACATGATAATATGGGGTGCAAGTAATTTCTAAAAATGTAGATAGTACGATATTACACCTTTCATCCAAATATTTTGTTGTTTATATGTCTCAATGTATTATATTAAAATAATCTAATTGTTATGGCCATTCATATAAGACTGTTATATTTTTCGTTATTATTATTACTTACCATTTAATAATGCCATTACAAAATTTATTGAAACTAGAAGTTTGTGATTAAAAATATGATATTTTCTAAGTGTTAATTATTGTTTGTTTTGTATAACATAGATTTATTATAGTAACTCAAATATACATACAACAATAACATCGTAATGATAAATTAGCATTGGTACAATGTTAATATTTAAATTAATATAATGTTTTTTTGTAAATCTTTTACCTTTTTATTGATAATAAAATTTTGGTAAAATATTGACCTATTTTTTTAATATTCTACTTTAGCATTTGGTAATTATATTTTCTAACTCTTGTGTAGACATGCACAGGAAAGATGCAAGGCATATCCATAAAGAGCACTCTATTTTTTTTAAATCGAAGCTGCAGTATCTGAGTATTTTTCGGCATTATGTTGAACCGTGAGCTGTTTTGGTATCCATCCCATATACAATTTTCGATAAACAAGTGTTTCAGTAATGATTTCATGCAGAAGTGATTGGAGATTTGTAGAAACACTGTGTTCATCTCGTCCAAGGTCAAACGATGGTCACCATGAAGCATTTCTTCGATCTTCACCATCTCATCAGTCACAATTGAGGGAGACCCAGTCCTTTGTTCATCATGAGCATTCTACCAGCTTTATACTTACTACACCACTTGTACACATTAGTACAATTACATCATTCCCATAAACAGTTTTTATTTTGTTAAAAACCTGAAATGGCGCCTTTCCTTTTGCAAGAAGAAACCGGATATGCTCACCTCGCAGCTGGCGGAATTCAAAATAACAGTACTCTTTTTCAACACTCCACTACAACAACAGTTCTCAACTGACTGAGACAAATGAGCGTGATCTGCTCTCAACACCTTGCACTGTTGCCAACTTTGTCGAAAACAAAAACCACGGCATCAGAGTCTCTATACTCTTACTTTGTGGATATGCCTCATAGTTGGGGTTTCAGTGACTGAGGTTACCGAGTGCGTGAGTTAAATTAGGAGTTTTAGCTAAATCTTTTAACTTTTTATTTATTTGTTATTTTACCATTACACCATTTACCATCGATAGTAATTTTTTCTAACTTCTGTGCAAAAATGTACAAAGATAATTGAGGGTGATTCAATTTCCTTAAATTGGGGGAGATGTGATTTTTGTTGTTAAAAGTTTTCGAAAATTGCGTCCAAGACATCTTAACTAATTTTGTTTCTATTTCCTTGGGGAATACGAAAACTCCTCTAAATGTTGAATTTGGCCCATCATGTACAAAGGATTACATTAGCTATTTTTGAATTCTAAGTTAATACGTGACATAATAATATTAATTAAAAATTTATTTCCTATGCTGAAGAAACTAAATTTCTTATCAGACGAACCCCATCCTATTCAACTGAGATTTTCGGTAAAACGATACACTATACCGATTTTTAACAAGTATACATTTTTTATGTAGGATTATCCATGGAATCTAAAAATGAATCTCAAATGATTATTAGGTCATTGGCATAGAAGTTGGGGTAAAAAATTCTGCTTTACTACCCATTCCTACGCCACTGACCTACAAAAATTTGTAAATTGTATAGTAAATTATGCACGTGTAAATGTTAACACTATACCAAATTTGAACCAATTTGTTATAAGCATACCAAAGATGTACAGTGAAAACGGTTAGACTTAGACCCTTGCTCTTTATTAGGCAATTCTGAATTATTTATTGAGTTTTATTTGTGGTTAAAGTTTGTTTCACTTGAACTGAAACACCCTATATGTATTTTTTTTAATAGAAAAGAATATGGTGGCTAAATGAACAATAAAACTCATTAAAGTATAGAACAAAATATAATTTAAAATTAAAATTAGTACATTGAAATTAAATTGAATGTTATAACACTTACTGTAGTATATCGCACAATCTCAAATGGGCTTGCTTATCAAAACTATAAGTCCGTTAATTTTTAAGTATATATTTAAATATATTTTCTCCTGAGTAGTTCAACAGATACCTTTTAAACATATAATTTATACCTATACCTAATAATAAATTTTAATACATCAAACATGTAATATATACAAAATAACAGATAATCACACTAAACAAAATTTAAGTACAGGAAAATCAATGCTTTGTACTAAAGAAGAAATCATTAGATATTAATGTAAGTATAATATTCCGAGAGTCATTTATTTTAAAGAGCCCTCTGACAATAATAAGTAGCTACTAGTTATTCCAAATTTCCAGAGCTGCATTTGGTGTCACACTACATGTTGCTTTTCATCAAAAGTAGCAGGATGAATCATTTATGCTGATAAACTTAAGTATTTAATTAAAAATGCTTCAAGCATAAGTTTTTTTAAAGGTGGAAGGAAAACGGATAACTCATTTTTCAAAAGCAACTTAAAATTTCTTGTCTTATCGAAAAGCACAAAATTTTGTGAAAGAATTTTTGTGTCTGGTGTTTATTTTGAATAAAATTTGATACTGAATATTAATTTTCGAAACATTTAAATGACTCATATCTGCATGTGTCAGACCCAGGCATGAATGAAAATTAATGACAGTGACATATTTCAATTGATTACAAATATAATAACCTACTCAAATCTATGCTGGCAATTCATGATTGAATTAGTTTTCTATTTTGGTTAAAACTTTGTGTTTCATTAATTTTGTTTAATACGTCCTGATTTTTTTAAATATTTTTGCACAATTTGGTCGTAAGTAGGTACTGTACTGAAAAGTTAAAGTAGGCTGACAAATTTGATATACAGGGTGTTTATTAAGTAGTTGTACAAACATTAAAGGGTGAATCTTTGACTAATTTTAAGATAAAAAGTTCTTATGAATACAGGTGCGCAACGACTTGGTTCTTGAGATAGATATAGCCTCTAAAAAAAAATTTTTGTTTGGTATTTCGATTATATTTTTGTTCAATAACATAACAATTTGACGAAATTCGGGAAACTGGGAGTATTGATGATAAGAAATTCAAATATTTCCTTATAGTTTTTTGTTTAATGTTAGAAGGCGCCACATACAGTGTTGTACCTGGATTTAAATAACCATAACTTTTTGTGTTGCACTGTATGTCATTATTGACTAAACACCTATTTTCCGTTAAATTTTACGTACATATGGTACTCTTAGTCGTTGTTGCTGAAAGCAGACGTTTTGTAAAAAAATGGGCTTAAAGTTAAACCTGCATTGGAATTTTGTAAGTTGAATCACTAATAAGAGTTTTTGAGAAACAAGTAATAAAATGTGTCTTATTGATTGTATTGCGATGTAACAAACTTAGATCATTTACAAGACTAAGACTAAACTACTTCTACAAATAAGTTAATTAATAACATTACAATAATTGCTGAAACAAAATTATTTTTTGAAGAATCTCAAGGACCAAGTCAAATTTTTATCTTAAAATTAGTCAAAGATTCACCCTTTAAAGTTTGTGCAAGTACTTAATAAACACCCTGTATACATACAATGCAGGATGTTTCATAATAGTATGTCTTTATAGAGGGGGTGAATTTGCCCGTGATTTTAAGTAAAAAAGTTCATATAAACATATCCGTAAATGCTTCGTTAC